AAAAATATTTTGATGGGTTGTCAGGATAATTTCTTACATATGTCGCGTTTCAAGAATCTGCCATGCATTGTAGAGCTAATACAATGTTTATAATGCGGCGTTAAAAATTACAAATCAATTGAAGTCTTTAAAATAAAACAAGTCTACTGGTGGCAACTGATAAAACCCGTTTGCTCTACTGACGTCTAACCCCTGGTTAGCTCAGTTGGTAGAGCGCTCCACCTGTAATGGAGAGGTCCCGGGTTCGATACCCGGACCAGGCGGATTTTTTCGGTCGCTCACCAGTCACCTAGCTGTGTTTGGAGATTTATGTCTGTCCTTTGTCCCCCTTGTTCCCCTTCTCCAGGGATTATTTTCATCATTCTTGTCCAGCTCACTTGCACCTTTGCATTTAATTGCATTATAATTACATTTTGCGCGCTTTCGGTAAAGCGGGTCGCCCTCGTCGGTGGAGGAGGTTTCCGCGTCGTCCGGTTAAAATATGATGCACTTGTATTTAGTTACTCTCTCCGTGCCCGCTGGCTTGCCCGAACCCCAAGAGACATGGAAATCGCCAAAAAGGTAGACGCTTAAATATGATTGCAGGGCCCCTTTAAGTCTGTTGGAAGTTGGCGCTTGCCTGTGTCGTACGTGTGACTTATTTCGTTATTTTCCGTTTGCGCCTTTCAATCTTTTAACGACGTGTACCAATTAGGCCCTGCCAAAGTTTTATTAAAATGAAATTGAAAGTTTTTTTTTCATCTTTAAATCTATAGTCGGTGACAGGTTAAGAGTTAAGTGGAAGCTCCTCCCACCTCTCTCCGCTGAAACGGAACGGACGCTGGAGAGGAGGTGACCTACTTTCCAGCTTTCGCTCTTCCAAACAGGAGATACGTGGGCGGAGCTTCCCCTGAAATCTTAACCTGTCACCTGATATAGTTGCTTGAGTCTTGAAACTTGCTTGTTTATAGAATGGCCAGATATTGAGATGCAAAATAATGGGTCTTAATTTTTTTTATGCGGAAACACGCCACTATTTATTGAAAATCTGTATTTTTTTTTTTTCATGGTGACAATTTTTGAATAAAGTAAAACAAATGCTCTTTTATAAGATTAGAGATCGAAGTTGTACATCTGAATATAAAACTGTACTTCTGGCTGCCTTTTTTAAATTCACCCTTATTTCTGGATTTTTCGTGAGAAACAGTACATTTTAGGTGTGCGTAGGTATGGTAAATGATATGAAAAATTCAAGTTTCATTAAATAAGTCGCCGCTTATTTACAAAACGAGCTCTTCAAAAGTAACTGTGTTGTGTTGCCATGATCATAACCTCTTTCAGATAATCAATGAACTTGGCAGGACCTTCTACATTTTGCGGGTACTTATTCGCCCGAAGAAAACCCTGTAATACGATACTTGTATTACAAATTTAGGTGCGGAAAAATTACAATATTGGATCGTATTTCACCCACAAACTTCACGGCACTTGTGTCGTTTGAGAATCCACTCAGCACGGGCGAGTAAGCACTTCCTTTTTTTATTAAATACAAAATTGTGCCATAGATAGACCGCTCTTATCACTACTATTTAATAATATTTTACTAGTTAGCTACATTTTTTTTCTTCTTTTTTAACGCATTGTTTTTGCTGCAACAGACTAGTGCATGGTAATGTCTTAATGTCAAAAAGTGTGATCATAAAAAATATTAGTAGTTCATTGAAAAATAAATATTGTTTTACACATTTACTGTCTTTTATAACAGCTAAAAATAAATAAAGCAATCCATTGGGTGCTGCAATAGCGGCGCCGGCCAAAATTACAGAGCTTGCTGATTTTTCTTTTACTTGGTTCTGAGGTAAATGCCCAGAACTGACTCAGCATGAACAATCAATGTCTATAAGACCTTCAACAATTTAACTAAAATCGTTAATAAAAAGTTTGTGAAAGGGGCATGTTGAGTGTTTGGGTGACCTTGTGGTTGTGAGTATAGGATGTGGGACTAAATAGATCTTTGAGCTGCGTTTGAGACGTTCTCTTCTTCACTTGTCTCTGTCCCTTCTACTTTTAAGTTTCTGTTTCTACCCCAGTCTCGGGTTAAGTTCCATCATGATAACACAAAGCTTTTCGTTAGATAAATGAAGATTCTAGCTCCAAACAAAGCAATCAGTGATAGCGGTCATGCATTATAGGTTTATTTTAGTTCCGGTTTCAAAATGGAATCAATAATATATTTTTCTGCATTCCCGTTTTATATTAATACGAGAGAGCAAACCGGAGGGCAGAGAGACCAATTTAGTTTTGTATTTTCGTAAGGTTGACTGAAAAAAATTTTACTGTTTTAAACATAATTTATTATAGCATCGATGTGTTTTGGTGTTTGTCGCACGCACGTGGATACAGACTTCTCAACACATCATTTCCTCCGAGAAATGTCGAATTTTTTTAAAAAATGTTTGCCAGAATAAATTAAACACCCTGTGCAATTTAACTGATATATAAAAACTTCGAGTCCTTTTTCCGGAGATAACTCTTGGCCTAGATTATACTCATGGCCAGGTCATACTCAAACGTATATACATCTGTGAACTAGCTTTTACTTGCGTAATTTTAACGCGATAGATTCATAGTTCTATGTTGTAACCCTATTGAAAAAACTAACTTAAGCTCGTCCCAGCTTCAAGCTCGGTTATTGCTCCAGCATGCCCAGTTTGGCAAGCTGGTTGATCCGGTCATGCTGCTCATGCTGGTTGATCTGGTCCCAGCTTCAAGCTTGGTTATTGCTCCAGCATGCCCAGTTTGGCATGCTGGTTGATATGGTCATACTGGTCACGCTGGTTGATCGGGTCCCAGCTTCAGGCTGAGTTGTTTCCCCAGCATGCCGAGTTTAGCATCATGGTTAAGCCGGTGGACTTCCCCGCCAGTTTAACCAGTTTGAATTGATACAGAGGATAAACAAGCCAAACTCTTTTGAAAAGCCAGCTCGGCATCCAATTTATTATTTTTGTACTCGCGGCCTGCTCAGATGAGCTCAGATGGTACACGTCCTCGGCGCTGACACAGTACTAACCGACGCAGACAGTGGTTCTCGGTGTGAAACAAACAATGCTATTAAAACTAGATTGCTTATCTCTCAAGACGAGAAATACTAGACACACGCCAAAAGCAGGCAATAACAATAAAAAATACTACACGGATGAGAGAAGCTAACCTGGCTCCCGACCGGGATATGAACACTTTTATCTGAACCGCAAACAAAACCGTGGTGGTGGTGTATCCATCTTGATATCAAACACAGGTTTTGAGATTGTATCCGAATACTCAGCCATTACAGATCATTACGAAGTACTATGCATACGTAAAAACCTTGAAGTGTATTGTGTTGTTTTACGCCCACCAAATGGAAATGTGTCCCCGTTCTTTGAATTTCTAGAAAAGTTGTTTAGCTCTATGACTGAAGTTAAATGCAATTTCATCCTTGGAGGCGACCTAAATATTGATTTTCTTGATCTATCACGTAATTAGTCGGAGTTATCTTTATTACTGTCTGCACATAATCTTCAGAATGTCATATCTCTTCCCACGCGTATAACAGCGTCATGTTCCTCCTTGCTTGACATGTTTATTACCAATCACGATAGCTCAAATATTACTGCTGGAGTAATGTGTTTAGATTTGAGTGATCATTTGCCCATATTCATGCTGATTCATAAACATAATGCTACAGCTAAAACGAAGGTCAATAAACTTCAACCCACCAGATACATTAGAAGCATTAACGATAAAACGTTGCAGGCGTTTAGAAGAAACGTTGAGAGCGCGAACTGGAGCAGTATAATAGGCATAAAGGATATAAATAAAGCTTACGACAAATTTATTGAGGTTTTTAAAAGTATTTATACGTCCTCATTTCCATTAATATTGGTTAGAACCGATAGACGTGTCCGGAAACCCTGGGTTACTAAAGATCACTTAAAATCAATGCGTGCCAAAGATCGCTTATATAAAGCATTTTTAAAATCGCGAGACTTGGTCAAACTAGCAGAATTTAAGTTACTGAGAAACCACCTGAACGCAGATTTGAGGCGTGCAAAGCGAAACTATTATAACCAACTTTTTGATTTTGAATGTATGAAGCATCCTGACTTGCTTTGGAAAAGACTTAATGCTCTCTTGGGCAAAAATACTAACAATGATAGAATAGAAAAATTAGTTATTGATGGGATGGAAAAGTGCGGTTCTGAACTATCAGATGCTTTTAATCGTTATTTTGTGAACGTTGGGTCTAGTACCTACTGCAGTGATGCAGCACAAAATATACCTAGAGTTTGTGATACTATATTTTTTTATCCTACCGATGAATATGAAGTTTTTTCGACGATAAATAATTTACGCAACAATCACAGTTGCGATGCTGATAGTATAAACATTAAACCCGTGAAATTTGTTGTCGACCTCATTGTGCCTTGTTTAACACATATTTATAACCTTGCTCTTTCGTCGGGTGTGTTTCCCACAGGCATGAAAACAGCAAAAGTAACAGTACTGTTTAAGGCAGGAGATAGAAATAGTATGGGGAACTATCGTCCAATATCCATTCTTCCTATTTTTTCAAAAGCCTTAGAAAAGCTTATGCACTCAGGGATCACATATTTCTCAGATCATCATAATGTATTAATAGAATCTCAGTTTGGGTTTAGAAAATTTAGGTCTACCGAGTCTGCCCTTTTGCACCAAAAAGAAATTATTTTAGATACTTTAGAAAAAAAGTTAACAACGATTGGCGTTTTCCTTGACTTTAGTAAAGCGTTTGATTGCATCAACCATGGTATACTTTTAGACAAGCTATTTTCGTATGGCTTTCGGGGAGTTTCATTTTCATTGTTAAGGTCATATTTTGAGAACCGTTGCCAATATGTTTCCATAAACGCGCATAGGTCCTCTTTGCTTAACATTAATTGCGGTGTTCCCCAGGGAAGCATTCTAGGTCCCCTTTTATTTCTTTTTTATATAAACGATATAGTTGCTATTGACTCTGATGTAGATTTTATTATTTATGCAGATGATACAAGTATGATCATTTCTGATTCAAATAGTGAACGTCTTATCAGCAAAACAAATAATGTCCTTTCAAAATTAAAAACCTGGTGCATAAACAATTCCCTTCATATAAATGCTAGCAAGAGCAAGGCTATAATATTCCAACTACATTCCAGAACTCAAGCAACCTCATCCTCTCTTCTGAAATATGGCACTGATATTATTCAATATGTTGAAAATGTAAAAACTCTTGGTGTATTTTTTTCTTATAACATGTCTTGGAACGACCATATTAGACACGTTCGCACTAAACTTTCTAGAATAGTGGGTGTGTTAAATAAATATAGAAACATTTTACCCACAAGTGTCAAAATTCAACTTTTTAAATCACTATTCTATCCCATCTTATGCTACGCGCACCTAGTGTGGGGGTCTACCGGCACAACGAACTTAAACTTGCTTCGAATATTGCAAAAAAAAGCTCTACGAGCCATAGCTAATGTCTCTTCAACCTCTCCATCCTTGCCACTGTTTGAGAAGTACTCCATACTTGACGTTTCAAAAATGTATCCACAACGATTAATATTAACATTCCAGTCTGCCATGAAAGGTAAATATGATACTTTTCTCGCTATTGCGGACCTTCATTTGCACGATTCCATTCGTCAAACACGTCAGATACATCCATGGCATATACCACAATCACGAACTAACTTTGGACGTCAAAGAATTAAACATGCACTTCCCGAGCTACTAAATCATATCGCATCATTAGGAATTGATGTTATGTCAGTGGGCAGAAATGATATCTCTTGCATTGTATAATACTTAAAACATACCTTCTATTGTTTTTTTTTTCTGTGTTAGTGTTGCTTGCCTTGTAGGGGTACCAAAGGGCCGGTCAAGCTGCAAATAGCAGCTTTTTTCCTTTGGTTTTCCCCCATCGTTGATGGAAATAAAGAAATGTTTCAATGTTTCAATTAGTTCAAACAGCTTCACCAGCTTGTCTCCCAGCATGACCACCTTGTCTCCCAGCTTGACCACATTGGCTCCATGGAAAACCAGTTTGACCAGTTAGGACCAGACTGGCTCCCAGCTACACCAGATTGAATCTAAAACCAGATTCTAGTTAGACCATGCTGGTTTTTACTTAAACCAGACTGACCAGCTTAAATTCTACCTTGCCCAGCTTAAACCAGCAAGATTTCCAGGTAAACCAGTTTGATTACCACATCGACCAGATTGACCAGCTTAGTTACCAACTTGGCCAGTTTGATTTTCATGCTGGTTTTTCCAATAGGGGAAAGCAGTGGCGGCGAAGCGGCCTCTTGCGTAGTCGGCAGAAGCGAGGAAATTCGTGTAGCTTGGATGGCATTGGCGATACTCCTCGGCACCACCGTCATTAACGAGCACACACACGTTCGAAGACACGTAGCGACGCCTCAGTCGGGGCGTCCGATTTCTTCCGGCGCTGAACGGACTGCCGCTCGCTGTCTCCTCGAAGCCCGCTTCGCTTGCACCGCCGTTCAAGTAGTCTCCAAACAACGCGCACACAGCCGTCCCTTCGAAAATCTGCCCAAGATTACCAAACGTGTCTCAAATTCTCCGTTCCTACCACACTCTTTCTCTTCTCGCACACAAAGGAAGCTCGCAGCGCGCCTGAAGCGCCCGGTCGTCTTCCAAAAACGAGAGGACAAAGAACAGGACGTGGCCTCGCCCCAGCCTAAGCCGACCTTGGCGCGCGCGCTCCCAGCAATGCCAGCTCGGCCACCTCTAGCCAACCTTGGCGTGCGCGCTCCCAGCAAGACCATCTTGACAAGCTCGAACCAGCTTGACAAGCTTGAACCAGCTTCAGTACTAGCTCAAACCAGCTGAAGTACCAGCTTGCCCAGCTTCAGTGACAGCTCGAACCAGCTTGAACCAACTTGACCACGTTGATCCAGCTTGATTACCACGTAGACCAGCTCGAACCAGCTTGAACCAGGTTAAAAAACAGCTAAACCAGCTTGGCCAGCTTGATTTTCTTGCTGTTTTTTTTTCAATAGGGAAAATACCCTTTTTCTAAAAGTAGCGGAGGCGAACCTATAAGACGCACAATTTTGTGTGAGGAGACTGTACACCTTTTACAGTTTATTCTGCCTCTACGCCACAAATTTATTTCTTCAACCTGCGCCGTCACTCTACTGGAACAGAAAAGGCGGTCACGTCTTTTAAATGGAATTGCGTTTAGAGTTATCATCGAAACCTGAATGATATTTACGCCTTACACGCATATACCGCGTATTTCAGGAAAGCTAAAAAACTTTCCACCGAAAGAGTGGTTATAAAAAATTATCGGAAACGAGGTACTAGCCACAACGAATGTCAGAGATTGAAAAAAGAAAACAGATAGTAATTATTTTAATGTACTAAAAATAACTCGTTAGCTTCTTAACTAGTAAAAATAAGCATATTGTTCCATTTATAAACCTGCCGATGTGTCATAGAAAACCCCTAAATCAGTCAATTTTAGAAAGATTCAAAGAACGTGTTAAACGAGAATATAACATAACGTTTTTATTCGTGCAGCAGGCTGGTCTGACAATGCGAATACGCGGATGATATTAAAATTTTCCGTGTTTGCACATCGTCAGCGTTTTGCCTCCTGTACTATAGTCATAACTTTAGCCTTCTCCCACGCTTCGCAAGTTCTTTAAGTATGCAAGATTAACTAATTTAATGGTTTTCGATAACGCTCAGCAAGTTTCGTACTGGAATCATTAGTTCAGTTTTACTAATTAAAAAGCTTGGTATATTTGTATCTTAGTTACTTGTCTCATACGTCTATTTTTGAAATCATTGACGTAAGCCGCGGCTGGCAGTTTGTTTCCGAAAAGAGTTTCTTCTTCGCTCAGCCGCCCTATTATTTTTTTTTTTTTAATTTCCGCTGAAACATCTTGGATAACCCATAAAGAGCAACGTCGCAAGTCTTAGGTGGTCACGTGGAGCATGGTAGGCTAGGATTCGTGGTAGGCTACACAAGTTTATTGTTCCTCGTAAGACCACTTTCAGTAGGTGGCCCTCTAGTCACCGCTAAAACAGACGCTCTACCGATAAATGGGGCCACAAAGGTGTAACTATAATGAAGCTGCTCATTTCAGAGTTTGCTTCTGTGTTTCCAGTGGCCACAATCTCTGCATTGTCGATTTTCCTAACAGCTGAGGTTTTAGGAAAAGCACGGCGTCGCAAAGCAGAAACGCGATCTCTAGTCTGTTTTTCTCATCAAGTTCGAGTGCGGCCGATGCTACGCGATTTGATTGAGCCGATCAGGCTGCGCCTCGAGCGCGTGGTCACCGCCTTCGCCATCTTTGTGCGTTTGATACCAGTGGTGAAGCTATTAGGAGCAGTGAGTGCGTCGCGATCCTCCGCTTTTTGTGCCTGATTGGCTTAATAACCGATTAAAGGCAACGCGCAAAGACGACAAGTGTCGTGATGATGCATTTTTGGGCGCTGCTTGATTGGCGCCATCGGACCTTTGGCTGCGCTAGGGCTTAGTGTGAACGGGGAGTAAGACGCATGGTGGAAAGTTTTAGGGAACGCCTTTCGAACATCCTATACGGTACGATGGGCCCTCCGGCACGTACTGCGCATGTGTGAGTCTTCTGCGGTAGCACATGCGCCCTTCGTACCGGAGGGCCCATCGTACCGTATCGGATGTGCAAAATTGCTTCCCTTAAACTCGCCAGAATACGGTCTTCCACAGCTGCCACAAGTAACACACGTATGCGCTCTCTTCGTACGTACGGGTTTTTGGCTCTGCATATATAGCTTGCACGCTTCGCTTCTACAACAGCCCAAATGTGCGTCGAACAACAATCTGACACAATGGACCTTCTTGACACCGAGAAGCGAGTGCCGTATGGTGATTTGCCCCCGAACTAAAACGGGCTGGCCAACGGGACTCCGCCCGTCAAGACACATTGACATCGTGCCGTTGTATAAGTTTTCATTACTTTTTATTACCCATGCTACACATGCCCGTGAGAAGGAATCGTCAGAAAAAACGAAATACGTGGAAAGATAGGCTGTGACAATGTTTGTCGTGCGAGATGGTGCCCTGCGAAAATGGAGACAGCGGGAAGCAATGCCAGGGCAGAGGGTGCGCGCATGCGCAGAATCTTAGTGGAAAAGGGTCAATTGAAAAGCTGTAGGTGGCGGAAATCAGCAGTGTAGTACTAAAATGTACTCTTCAACAGCACACTCAACGAAATCAGAATATTAAAAGAGACAGCTTAGGTGGAAGTTCCTGTAGTTGTCTATACCTCGATTTTTGGAGCTTCAAATGACGGGAGGTGGACCGAAATGGGTGGTAGGGGGGTACGCTCCTCTGCGGTATAGCTCCACAACTCAGCTAAAATAACTAGTAACGTTGCCACGCACCACCTTGGACTGCAAAGCGCGCTTCGCCACCGTGAATCCAACGGCAGACGATGTCATCTGGCTTAGCTGGAGTCCACTCTGACCGCTGGGACGCGCTCGGCCGCCTTCGCTTGACATGCCCATTGATTTAACCGGTGAGCGCAAACCGACGAAGAACACGAGTGCCTTGACGTGGCCCTTTGGCCGTTGCTTGATCGATTCTTTTATGATGATAGCCTGGGCTACAGTCGGACATAAAGTGAAACGGAGTACAGCCGACATAAATTATAAATATTCCTATTTCCCTGTTGGAAAATCTCGATGATGGAAAGATGACGGAAAAGGCTCATACAAGCGTAACCGTAATATGGGACATCCTATACAAGCGAAAAAGGCGGCTCCAGTATAGTGGAATAAGGCGGAACGATACAGATGGACGGAACCATACAAGCGTGTCGTATTATGGGACATCCTATACCAGCGTAGTGGATATAGGCGGAACCATGTAGGCGGACGGAACCATACATGCATAACGTAATATGGGACATCCTATACCAGCAAAAAGGCGATACCAGCATGGTGGAGCCATATGGCTCCAGCGTGTTGGTTTCGCCTTTTCACTGTTGTACAGGGCGATTTAGTTTTAAGCTTTACATTTATGTTTAGAAAGGTCGTGAAAGCTATATTAATGCGGTTTGTGCAGGCGACTTATACGGCCAGGCGTACGTAGTATAGGGACCTAGTCGTAACGATCAGTCAGATAATTAAATACAATTTGTTAATCAACTTTTTAATTAGTGAAAATGAAAATATGGTTTCAATTAGAAACTTGCTGAGTCATTGAAAACCACAAAATCAAGTTTTTTTTAGAAGGATATAATTCAGGGGTAGCGTTTTATGCATTCTGTAAAAAGCTTTATTTGGACGAGTTTCTAGGTTTCAGTTTCTTATCAGAGCTCATCTCTGCGCCCACGGTCCTGTTCCCCAGGGGCATAGACACGCAACACACATGCGACTTGCTTCCCTTCATCCTACGAGGGAGGCGAGGGGGCGGCTTCGCACTGCGGTCACCGGGCAGCTGGACCGCAGGTGCAAAGATGCGCTCTGGTAAGAAACCGAAGTCTGGAAATGCGTCCAAATTGACCATTTTTTTATAACGCCATAAAATGCTACTCGTCTTATATCTTTACAAAGAAAATTGATTTAGTGTGTTTTGATGATGCTTAGCAGGTTTCTAATTGGAACCATGGGTCTATTTTCACTGATCAAAAATTTCACGAATATACTATACTTAGAGAGAGGCTGAAGCAGTTTTGTATTTGAGAAAACACTTTTAAATCTTCTTCATTCGACCTCCAGAATCTCAAATATCAAAATTATTTGCTAATTTAATTAATCAAGGCTGCATAGTCATTTTTAAAGCACTGTGAAAGCACCTCCCTAGAGAGCG